TTTTTTTTTTTTTTTTTCGTCTTTTTTTTTTTTTGATTTTTTTAAAATCCTTTCAAAGGTCCAAAAACAAAATAAAAAATATTGGGTTGTAGATCTTTTCAAGATCTACAACCACTTTTTTTTTATTTTTTTTTTTGGGTTTTCTTTGGCCCCCAAATCATCGTCGTACGCCCGTACGGTCGTCCGTCCGTCCGTACGTACGGGCCGTACGGAGACCCCCCGTACGACGTACGGGGGACGACACAGGATCTCAGTCATCAGAACGAGTGAAAATAAGAGGGGGCGCCCCTGTCTCTTGCTATGATTGAACGGTCGGGTGGGCTAGTGTTGCTTGGGGTCGCGAGCTCCAACACGAGTACTAGACGCTAAGTCGAGTGTATGCGTGCATATTGCTTTGAGGATAAATGAGGGGAACCGCACGCAGAAAACTGAAAGAGATGGCCACCTTCTAACCTCCAAGACAGAAATGGGATCCCTGTCCTCAAGGCCCACCCCCTCGGACGCTAACATTGAGAATGGGAAAGGAATGACCCTAACCAGGCTGTTCGACTTGAGAATGGAAAGGAATGATCCTAACCAGGCTGTTCGACTTGAAAATAGAAAGGAATGACCCTAACCAGGCTGTTCGATTTCATAATGGAAAAGAACGACCCTAATCAGGTTGTTCGGGAATGGCCCCTGACAAGAGTCATTTCTTTTGAAATAGGCACTGGGGTCCCCTGCGTAATTGATTGAGAAAGGTTGGTTAAGAAAGGTTGATCGAGAATGAGCTGGAATGAGCAATGTGAGATGGAAAAGGCTTGTGTGTCCATTCAACTATCAACGGGATTTTTTCAACTCCATTGTACCCGTTGAACGGGCACAAGACCGGAGTTGAATCCCCGTTGAACGATTCAACGGCCGGTTCCCGTTGAACGCTGTTCAACGGACCGCCTGCAACGGCTGCCGGGCATGCGGCGCAGGCGACGTGAACCGAAAAAACAGTGGTTTGTCTCCAACCCCGTTCGTTCTATACCCATTGAATCCATTGAACGGGAGTTGAATCCCCGTTGAATGGATTCAACTCCGTTGAATCCCCGTTGAACGGCTTCGTCGTTTGACGGGAAAGCGAACAACGGGGGCTGCGCCCGCGGCTGAGGCCGCATCGCCGTGCCCCCTTGCTGTGATTTCCATGCCTGTGTGTGTGTGTGCGTGCTTGCTGCTTTGCATGTCCGTTGAGTGTGTGTGACCCGCAAGGGTACGTCGTTTGCAAGGCCCCGCAGGGCCAGTACTTACCTGTGGCCGTGACTGTCAAGGTTGAAGGGGGGGTAGACAGTCAAGTAGCGGGGGTAGGCCCACGACACTTAGAGCAGGGGGGAAACACTCGAGTAGCAGGTAGGCCGGTACCACTCGAGTAGTGGTATGAGTGTCGAGTACTGAAGGCCGAGCAAAAGAAGATAAAAAGTTGGCATTTTTAGAGGCCCAGTAGCGGTAGGCTGTAGGTTAGAGGTAGGCCGATAGTCCAAGTAGCCCGGGTCTAGGGCCTGTCCGGAGGATAGCAGAGCCTGCAATGATGTTTCCCTCCGAAAGGGAGGTCACTCGGCCTAGGAAGTCACCGCCCAGGAGGCCGGTAGGCCGCTATATCTCCAGGAAGAGCAAAGAGCTCTTCCTCATTTGCGATGTGCAAGGATTGGCGACATGCTGTTGGAGCACAGCGCTGGAGGTACAACGCTGCTTGGAGGGAGAAGGGACCGCTGGAGCTCAGCCTGGCTGTGGCGAGCAGTCCAGCTTGAGGAGGAGGAAGAAGGGGCATGGTAGGAGAGTGTTGAGGCACTTACCTGGCTATGGTGGACACCGTCTTCATCACCTTGTTGGGCGCTGCATCCGGAAGGCCCCAGTTGGGGTAGCGCTGCAGCAAGGAAGCTCAAGGCAGAGTCAGGCATGACGGACCAGTCAGCAGCGGCATAGCTGCTCTTGGGTTGTCCTTTCAACTCCTTTGGACATCGGCAGCACCATAGCTG